TGACACCTATGTGCCAGGGGTTCACCAGCCATCAAGCATCACAGGACACAGTTCACAATGTGTGGCTCTGACACCAGCATCCGTGCTGAAGGCTCTCCTTACATGGCTGCATCTGTCTGATGACAGACTTCCTCAGCCAGATGCATTTGGCTGGAGGCCATACCAGACCTCTATCTCCTATTAGGATCAGCCACAAGTGACAAGATGGGTGACACAGCAAAAATTAGAGGATTTAACTAATGCTCAAGAGAAGTAGACATCCGCTCAGAGACATTGGAACTCATACCATTCCCTGACATGGCATTCTTAGACAGGAGGTAGTGTCACATTTCTTCCAGGTGTGTAGATTTCTCATGAGTCATTTGTCCCAAAACAACAGTGAATAGATAGACTTGACCAGCTTTGAAGATCCAGATCGAGGAGTGCATAACCCATCATAAGAATCAAGGCAACTTTCCTTGTAAGCAGTGTTGGGTGGTATAAGAAGAAAGATGTCCCCCTCTTCTCTGTCGTCTTCCCGTGGCTCCCGTACCATTTCATGTGAAGATCTGAGTAGCACCCCATTCTGGGCTAGCCTGTTCCAGGGACTCGCACTGTACTAAGACATCTATTCAGATCATCAGCACAAAACGCCAAGGAAACCAGGAGTTCAAACACTGATGGCCATTCAATGGGCAGGGTTCTTATTTTGAGTAAATCTCCAGATGATAATCCAGAGGATTGGCCCTGGGAAAACACAACTGATTTTCCCAAACTTATAAAAGACTAGAGATACCCTATAAATTAAGAGAAATCTTGCACAGATGGATGTATTAATTTTTCCCCACAGGCCAGACTTAACTCTGTCTCGAATCCTAAGATAGGATGCCAATGAAAAGGAGGGAAAACCATATTCTGTAATTTCAGAGCTATTACAGTACACAGCTGTTTGACTCCATCAAAGTTCCAGTGTGTTTTAGAATGTTCCATAGCTTAGAAACAACTTTGCTGCAATCAAACCTACCTTATTCTCCACAACGGCTGAAAAACACTTATATGTAAAGAGTACTGAATCAAAATTACCCTAAGCTCCTCTTGTGTGCCTTGGTCATGCAGACAGGTGTGTTTTCAGTCTCCATAGAAAAACTGGGTTGGTCTGGGTGAGAGGCATCTCCTGGGGCTCCCATCCTGCTAGTGTGAAGATAAACCTGTGAACAGGCCCCCAAGCAGACTCCTGTGTGCCCTTAGACTTTTAAGTCCTGAACATTATACTTCTAGCTGTGACTAACCCCCTCCTAGAATTTCACAGAGCCTAGAATTAAGATATCTACTCTGTAAATGGCAGAATGAGTCACAAATAACCAGAAAAAGAAGGCATATCTTTGTCACTTTGAAATGTAACCAGACATCTCCAATCTTTGCCTCTATTTCCAACCAGGACTCCATAGAGTACCTGATACAGAAGAGAGTAGCCAACTGACACTGAGATAGTTTAATGTTTTCCAAGAAAAAGATAATTAGTTTTCCTAAGAAGAGAACTCAGAGATAAGTCAGAGAGGTGCATCCTGGAAGGGATGCTTTGCTTCTTAGCCCTTGAGTCCGAAGTGAGGGAGGAAACTAGACAACGTCCATAAGCTATGAAGAACCAGGACCTGACACGGTAGCCATAATCCCACAGTGAGGAGCCCAGGGGATATTCAAGTATCAGGAGTATATTCCTGTGATGCTGACGTTGTGGTGGCCAAGAAGTCCTTGGTAAATGACAAGAGTGATTGGTTCATAGCTTCTGTATATATGGCAATTATTGTGAAACTAAAAGAGACATTGCCTTGAAATGCACTGAAGGAAATGTTCTAGGAGTCCAAGGAAATAATGCCACTACAGGTAAAAAAAAAAAAATCTCCTTTAGGAAAACTGGAGAGGGCTATTGATATCTCAAACTAATTCTTTGCTTTGTTGTAGCAGGTCTGTCCTATGTATCTAAATGGTAATTTTCTTGCCATGTGACCTCAGAAGCTCATCTAACACATAAGGCAAGATGCTATTTAAATTTTTTTTTTCTGGAAAGTATAGGAAAGCACATCACAAATAAATACAAAGTTACACACTGATAGCCATAATATCTGAGATGTGGTTCAGAGACATCCTGCTTCTTGCTAATAGCATCCCAAGTCAGGATGAAGTCAGTCTGCATATTTCATTCACAAAGGCAGACAGGAATTAGTAATTATCTTCAAACTCAACTTTTCATTCAAACCCCTGGGAAAAGCCCCTTCATCCATTCTCAGAACTCTGCATGCATTCTCCCCATCCCTATTATCTATACCCAGACACCATGCACCGGCCCTCCCTCCAACATGCAGGAAACCCAGGAACCCTGATGGGCTGAAGTTAAGCTTCTACCTCTACCAAAGATGGATACCAAAACAGGAAGACTTGCTCTCATGCCCCACCAGATTTCCCATGCCATCCCCATTCCCAGTAACAACACCACATGGAGAAGCAGCAGAAATCAATCTGCCTTCATGCACAATCAGCAAAGACATTGACAATCACCCCAACACATCTCCTGCTCCTGATCCAGCCATGCAGATCAGTCTGTATGTGGGACCTTGGGGTAGCCCAGGGAGTCCTCCTTTGCTTTACTTTTCCCACCTTCTACCAATTGGTAATCTATGGATGGATGCTGAGACTAATGGATAAAGGCAGAATTTCAGACTTAGGTCAACCTGCATTTAATTCTTGGCTCCACTATTTTCTAGTCTTGTGTTTCAATGTCAGTGTGTTCATCCCTAACATGGGACTATGATGAATTCTTCACAGGAATAGTGTAGATTAAATAAAGCTACTCAAAGCCCCAGCTAGAATAGATGCTCAGAAAATGTAAGTTGCCCCCCCCCACTACCCACTGCCCATAAAGACACGAGATGGATAAAGGCAGGGGCTTAAGATATCTGAAGGTCAGTGCAAATCATAAGGTAAGGGACTTTCTACAAAGATACTCCCCAAATGAAGGAATCCAACTTTATTCCCTTTCTGATGCCATCTTAGTGATGCCAATGAGAGATGACACCTGTGCTAACAAGCAAAGTATGTTTCCGATGCCATGACCACCTGACTCTTCCTCTTTGATTTTTGTCACACTAAAGTCTGTATTTCCTCATGGGCACTCAGACTTTTCAGATCTGACTTGTTTCAGAAAGTTTTAGCTGAGCCACAAAAATTCTCCTTGGAGAAAATATATGAACTAAGATATATTATCTTCTTTTGGCCACTCAATTACTTTGACCTCTCTACCTAAAACTGTGTATGTGTGTGCATGCACAAACACACTTACACACTACCACCACCACCACTACCAAGCACTTATTTTTCTCCTCTCTGCTTTACTTTCCTTCTAAGGACCTTTCACTCTCTAAATTTTTTATGTACTTCATTTCACTTTTGTCTTCTATTTCCCTCATTAAAGGCAGAGACCTTTGTCTATTTTATTCACAGTTGTACTGCTAACATCTAGAATAGCTCGGGATACATTGGAAAGAGATTGTATGTCCCAATTTACCCGAGAAGGACTCAATTTATACCCCTTAGTTCCTATTGAATCATTAATAGCTTCCTTTTCACTCTCAGCAGTATCCAAGTTTAGACAATCAATACACACAATTGATTTATAATAAATATTTGTTTAATTGAATTAATAAATTTGACCAATCTGATGCTTTAATAAAACTTGTCAACTTCTGAAACTGAGAGTTTGACCCTACCATAAGTGAATTACGCATGAGATATTAAAAGCACAAGATGTGATTAAGCTCTTATGGTCCCACTTGTAAAATTCTCAAAAGGCTGGCCAGTGAGTTTTTCCTGATAGACTCTAGCTAGATACAACATTAAGAAATCCTAAACTTTAATGTCGACATGAGTAGCAGTGTCAAGATGAGAAGCCTACAAAATTGTGGCCCTGAGACAGCCTGAGAGGCTAGGCTTAATTTACCTCCCTAACCAAATCACGAGAGAAATGAATGCAATTGTCAAAGAATTCCCCTACACCTGTCCAGGAGATTGCTGCATCGGGATAACATCACATATCAGAAACCCCAAGTTTCTCACTTCAACATCAACTCCATGACAACACACCCAGTCCGTGTTGGGAAACAGCATCTGGCCAGTGAGAAAGCCTCTCCAGATGACAAGCAGGACTTGTGCTAGGTACTGAAAGCTGGGAAGGTAAATCTTGTGGTTCTGTTTCACTAAATGGATCATTCCCAACACAGAAGGAAAAAAGCCCCTAAGCAAAAAAAGTGGAAGGAAGCCATCCAGTTCAGTCTGATAATAAAGGCAGGACAGATGGAACTTCAATGACTCTGCAGTATGGCCACCTCTTCACCAGAAATTACCATAGAGATTGAAGTGAGGAGGGTAAAAACTCTCTCCCCGAATGCTTAGGGATATGACTCAGTCACAAAAGATCTATAACAACTGTCCTGAGCATCAAATCATTTAGACAAAGATTCATCTGAGTTCAAGGGAGAGATCTCCCTTTCTTCAGGCCTAATAGCCTATGTGCGTAGAGTAGTCTTGCTTCCTTAAAGGGAGTCTCTTATGGAGTACAGACACCCAGAGTACACACAAAGCTCAAGGTCACACCTCCTGAAATGCGAGAAAGCAGCCAAACCACCCTCCATGCAGAGCCTCCAGCCTCCACCAACACACAGGCCTGGACAGATCCCTGGCAGCCATTTTGAATTCTGGCGGCTCCCCACAGCTGTGCACCTTTAGCAGACCATGGCCCCGCCACCCCCCACCATGCTGCCTCCCCATGAGATATCCCAAGCACATCAATGGCTTTGGCAGGAAACTTTCATGGAAGCAGAATGATGCCCCCATGGTGGAAGGCAGGAAAAGAGAGGTTAGAGAAGCAATCCCCATGGAAGTTCCTCTCCAAAGCCTGCAAGCTGTCAATCTGTGTGTGAACAGCCCTGCCCAGACCCCCTGGCCCCAGAAATGAAACCCGGACTCACTGTGGAAGCTGCCGGTGCTGCGAGCCTCTGCCGCTGCCACGACACGCTGAAGGGGCCCTTCTGGCATGGCCCTTCCTGACAGTGAATGGGGAGAGAGCGAGGGAGGGGAGAGAAGACAAGGGATGAAGGGAGAGGAAGGAAGCACGGGAAAATGAAAGAAGGGAGAAGGGAAGCACGTGCATCTTGAACTGAACTGAACGGTGTGTTTCTCCTGACCACAGCCTGCGAACATCTGTCCCACAGCAATCCACCTGCAAGTCTCTGGCTGGGCAGTCCACCCAGAAACAGCACTCACAGCCCCGCAAACATACCGTGACACCACTCCGAGTCCATGACACCCAGCTGTCTTCCTTTGAGGGCCACCGAGAGTCAACTGGCTTCCCTCCCGGGACTCAGTTCTCTTCTTCACAGGATGAGCCTCCCAGCCAGCCAACCTACCACTCTGAAAGGAAGTGGGTTTTATCTAGGAATTTCAACCCCCTTAATGTCAAAGAAATAGCACTTTCTCCAAAGTGTCTTATGGTGTTAGCAGAAAATCCCTGAATTAACTACCATTTTTTTTTTAGGGATTTCCAGACCCACTTCCTCACTTTCCCAATTTGGAGAGGAGGAGAGCTGGCTGAAGGTCACCTGGGTGGGTGGGTGACTCAGCCTTCTTCCTCCTTGTTGTCAACAGGCTCAAGGATTGGCGTTCTCCATCACCTCCTGGGAAAAGCCCACTTCTCTTAAAATGCTCTCAAGAAATTAGAGGAGGAGCTGTCAGGCTGCCTTAAAGGAGGGACTTGCAGTAACTTAGCAAAGGCATTTCTCAAGCGCCTTCCGGGTCAACAGCTATGGGCAAAGGACAGAGCCCCAACTCCCTGTGGAGCCAAAGGCAGAGAAGCAGCCCAGGAATGACCTGAGGAAGAAGCAGGTTGGTGAAGCAGGCTGATGAAGCAACAAGCCCATGTGTGCAAACCTGGAGGGCAAGCCCGAGGAGACCATCCAATGAAGGCAGTGAAATGGAATCCATGGTTTCTGATGGCAGTGAAGGTCAGACAGTGAGAAAGAACAAAGCAGGAAAAGAAAGGACGTATGGGCATCTAGGAAAAGATGTGTCCTTCCACAATTTGTTATGTTGAAGTCCTGACTTCTAGTACCTGAGAAGGTGACTCTAGGTGGAGATAGGTAATGGAGTCCTTATGATGAGCCCTAATCCAGTATGACCGATGTCCTTAGGAGAAGAGAAATCTGGACCCACAGAGCTTTGAGGGAAGGCAACATGAGGACACAGGTCAAAGGTGGCCATCTGCAAGTCAGAGAGCAAGATCTCAGAAGGAGCCAAGCCTGCCTGCACCTTGATTTTGGAATGCTGGCCCCCAAGTTCTGAGAAAATAAGTATCTGTTGTTGAAAACCCCTAATGTGTGGCATTCTGTTGTGGCAAGCCCAGCCAAGGATTATAGACAGAGAAGGCCTCATGCAAATGCAGAAATGAGAACATGGCACTGTGGAGCAGAAGATAGACTCGCTGGGATAGAAGAACCCAGGAACTTCCTTTGACAGAGGTCAAGAGGAATAGTGGTGGAGTGCTTGAGAGCCCTGTAGGCCGGGGTAAGGAATTTATATTTTGGAGAAATGAAGATTCACTCGAGGCTCTTAAATGAGTAAGGGGTGGGATGTAATTGAGGAGCAGAGGTAGGACAGCTCTGAGCCTGGAGGTACACACACTGACCCAGGCACAGGCCTGATCAGGGTGTAGTCGAGGGTAGCTCCTGCCAACTTGCAAAGAATAAGCCCCACCGAAGGGCTATGAAGAGAGACATAGCAGGTGGCATAGTAGGTGGTGAAGAGACAAATTCAGAAAGACTCCCCTTTGGGGAACCTCCCAAGAGAGTTTTCACAGATGCTAACAGGCTGCTCAAGAACACGACTGAAGAAGCAGGAGGCGGCCATGGTGAGTTCATTTCCAACACACCAAGTTTCAGTCGCCAATGAACTCTCCAGGAGAGGCTTCAGATGAAGCAATCAAAGAGAGAAGAGGTGGAAGTTAAAAATGTAAATGCAAACAGATTTTGTGTAAAAGCAAAAAAAAAAAAAAAGGTTTGAACCATGGGAGTGTGTGAGGTGTGCAAAGAAAATGTCTAAAATAGCTGCACCAGAACTTTCAGTGAGAGGAAGGAGAGAAACCAATGGAAGAGGTAAAGAAGGGCCAGAAAGGGGAAAAGCAATACATCACTGAGGCATTGAAGAGGAATATTATGCAGTTCTGGTGGAGAAGGCATGGATGATGGGGAGTAGGAATGGGGCTGTTATTAAGAATGTCATTCAACAGATAGTTTAGAAAGAATTAGCCTGGAGGAAAGACATTTGAATTTGGCCATGATGAAAACATTTTGGACCCCCAAAACTGCAGATTCAATGAGATGATAAGACCAGAATCCTCTAAAATAGAGAAGATGAAAACTACCTATTTCCTTATCAGAGGAGACAGAAGGAAGTTGAAAGGGGCAGAAAGGTCAAATAAAGATTTTTCTTTAACGTAAAAGAGATTTTTTTTTTTTTTTAGAGAACAAAGGAGGGAGAAAGGCTTTTAAGAAAGGCTTCAGAGAAAGATAAACATAGTTACAGAAAGAGATGGGCTTGATAGAGACAGGGCAGGTGACAGATGGTGAGGCACGAGGGAGTGGGAAAGAATGCAGAGGTGTGAATTTGAAGATATGAAGAGGGTGGATTTGGCCTAATATTTCATAGCTTTACAGAAATATATACTTAACAGTTCCTCACATATGCATAATGAGGCCTTAAATTACTATACTGTATCTAAGCAATCTCTATTCTAGAGTTGACTCTTAGGATCTCAGAATTGGGGGAAAAAAAGCAAAACTTTGGGAACATGTATCTCAACCTCATGTCCAATGCACATGTCTCTACAGCACCTCTAGAACGTGGATATTCTGGAAACCACTGGAGATGGAGAACGCACTGTTTTGCAGGTGGTCTGTTATTTTCACACAGGTAAATGCCTATGGCACTGTGTTTCACCACCGAGTCTGAAATATCTCTAGAGTTTTCTAATCTTGCCCCTTATTCAAAGGAACATGCAATAAAGCATTCATCCCACCAAAATAATGGAGGACCAGTCCTCAGAGCATCTCTGCACTGAAGCCTGGGTGGGAGATTTCTGGGTATCTCAAATTTCAGTGCCCTTGAGCATCATCCCACATGAGTCATTGACCAAGATATATGCCTGTCTCCTTGTTTGTTCACTTAATGGACTTCACGGAATTACTAGCATATACTAGGTATAGCACAAGGGATGTGTAATTGGTGTAACTAATGAAACAAGGCACGGATATTGCTCTTACAGAAATATCAGGCAACTATGATCAAATATGTGTTAACTGATGGTCCCAAGAATACATTTTCACAATGAATAAATGCACAAAAAAGTCACCTCCTGAAATAGATTTTCAGAACAACATTTATTGTCTCTGACCATGAATCTTCCTTGTTCTAGCATTCTTCCCTCACCCTTGAGTTTCACAGCATCTGTGTTACACACTTAGGACTTCGTGTGACTCAAATAATTTGTTGCTGCTTGTTCGACTATTACAACAGAAATTCCGAATTCCCTAAATTAAGTTCACCTTGCTCGATGTGGTAGCCAGCCCTGAGTCACCCCAACTGATTGCCTGCTTTTTCTTCAGGAGCCTTGCCATAAGACCTTTTAGGGAAAAAAAAACAATCTTGGACTTGGATTATTATAGGCTCACATTTCTAACTCTAAACTCTTCCTAACCTCATCGAGGCCCTACTATCCTGGTATGCTCTTTAAAATTTTTATTCAAGAAATTCTCACTCACCCTTTAAAGGCCTTACTTGTGACTCAAAATACAAAACCCAACTCCACTCCTCACTTATTGTGCAATCTGAGGAATACCAACGAACGTCTCTGAGCCTCAGTTTACGTGTCTGTGAATAGGAATAATCATACCATACCGGTTAGTTGACCTCACAATGCTTTGATGGTAATCAAAGATAAGCACAAAATCTGCAAGGCAGGAGACTAATGTTCTTGTCTTAACTCTCCCACTAACTGGATTATAAACTTAACAAATAACTGTGCCATTCTTCTTCCCCTCCTCCTCCTCCCTCCCTTCCTCTCTCTCTGTCTCTTGAGGTACAATGTCCTCACCAGTTAGATGAGTAAGTAAGCTTGATAAGACGACTTCCAAGTTCATTTCTAGCCTGGACTTAACAAGTTTGTCATTGTAGGTGGTCTACCCAAATTTTATTCAGACATTTATCAAAGGCTTGCATAAAATACTTATGGGGGAAGGTAAATGGATGAAGGAAAACAGTCCAATGGGGTAGAATCATAGCCATACAAAGACTATATCCAAAGAATGTTGATGATTATATCCACATCTGCCTGGGAGCAGAACTCTAGCAGAAAACCCAATCTCTGGGCTGTTCAATTTTTCAAGAGTCAAAAACATGTCCAAAGACAGTGTTGGTATATTGATAAAAGTTGGCACAGAGCTGATGGCACTGGACTGGCTGGGAGATCTGTATCTAGATTGCCCCAAACTTTGGCAAGGTTTCCACCTTAGAAAACTTAATCTGCCTAGAAATAAGGTGCATTGATGCACACAAGTTCTAAAAATAAATAAATAAATAGCTGCTAATTGAAGATAATTTAGGATACTGGGATACCAGTCTCACCTGTGAACTTGGGCAAATAAATCTAATGAGCCTCAGTAATGCTGGTCCAGCTGGTAAACCCCTCCCTCTGTATATATGCCTTCAACACAGGAGTATTTGATGAGCTCACATCTACGCCATGTGAGAATCCATTATTGAGAGAAGCCAAGGTGAGAGCATGCTTAGAAGGGTCCAGCAAAAGCCCTGGGGTTGTGAGAACTGGCTGTCATGGAATGAATCAGGACTAGAGACAACAGGACACAGGGGCCACCCATCCCTCTTCCTATATCATGGCAGCTATCACCCGTGGATCACCACATATGCTTTCCACCAACTCTAGATGCAGTCTACCAGTCTACTCAGAGCAACCTCCACCATCCCTCAGAACCGC